CCGCCGTTTGGATTCACAGCTATCACTTCGCATGACACCGTAGAATTAAGAAAGGAGTTCCATCCGGTTCTCAACGTTTTATTGCGTAATGCTTGTCCGATTGGAGGCTTCCCATTCATTAAGCTCGACTAAGAACTTAATTGCGTGCGATTGAAGCGGCCGCATAGGTGTAACTGCAATCGGATACAGTCGCTTCAAATGGCAACATTCACAAAAACACTTCTAATCTTAGAAAATTGTGTGGGATTTCATTCCTCTCACTAATCACTCCCAAATATGTTTTTCATCGACTAGAGTAATTGCATGCGAAGTTTTATAGCTGATTCAAAACGAAAACTTCTCGCTTGCCTTCGAGGGATGTAACGGATGACAGTCAAGACGAGCGTTCTTCATTGCACAAAAAACTCCGACCCCGACTTCTACAGCATGCCTCATTTACGAATGCGAAAAGATCGCAAACTTATTGCGATGACTTCTACAAGTCTAAACTGAAGTGCTTGAAATAGCTGGGAAATATAGTACTTGGTTGGCTAAGGTTAGTGAGGATTTGAGCGGGACTACGGACTGGGCTCGTGCATAGGGTCGGTAGCGTAATGGCGGTCGCACGTCGCCATTGCGCCATCGGCTTACTTCAGATTAGGAAACGGCACAAAGCACTACGAAAGCTCCATATGAAATGGAAGTCGTAGCCCAAACCAAATCTTCTGAAAGGACAACGCTCATGTTGGCTCCTCCTTGAAGTCCAAAAATCCCCAGAAAGTGCAGGTCGAATTAAGCGAATCAAATCGGATAGCATTGCAACCTCAAAAGCAAATATGCAAAAGTTGTGGCGTGAGGTCGGCGACTAGAAATAAAAGGTGTGAGTAAGAATATCACGCGTTTTGGCTTCCAGAGTAGTGGAACTGCTTGACCACGGCACGATTTCCGTAGCGACTGCTTGGGTCATGATGTCTTTTTTGGTCTTATTATACTTGTTTGGTGAGTACACTTGGATTTTTTGAAAGCTGCGAATGGCATCAATGGGATTGGAAAAATAGACTCTTATGGCCATTGAACGATTGCCCAGTTTCTTCATCAAAGGTCATATAGTAAAAAATTCAACGCTGGCACAAGAAAGGTCCATGGTATATCAGTATGCGCCCAGGAGCGCATCTGTCTCATACTTATTTTGGCTTGCCTGGTAATACATTATACGAAGTTATACGAGTTGCGAAGGTATGTCCAGGTACAGCAAATATCATAAAAGCCTCTAGATTCAATGTGGAGTCCAAGTATATGGCGCATCCCAGCTGGATCTTTATTTCGAGCCAAGTTACAAACGCAATTTCTACAAGTTGCATGTGATGGGGATATGTTTCCAAGAACAACAATAACATTTCAAGGCTCACATGGTTACGGTTATGTCGTTTGATTTTTGATCTGGTCGGGCAATGGCAGTAGCTGGCATCCTCTCCAGGCGCTCCCATGGGTCCGGAACTGCCGTCGAATCCAGGTGGTCCATCTGGTCCAGGGTCTCCTCTGACTCCCCTGGTGGTCCCATAGGACCCATTATTCCGTAATAACTTCGTATAGCAAACACTCTTACAAGTGAGTACCTAGTAGCTTCTTTGACTCACCGGGTTTCCTGGGCTTCCGTCTGGTCCAGGGAATCCAGGTGGTCCGATCATTCCACGTTCTCCAGGCTCTCCTGGTGGGCCTTTCTCCATCGATCCTGCGTCTCGTCCCTTTTCTCCTGGAGGTCCTGCAGTTCCGGGTGCTCCCGGTTCTCCTGGCAAGCCAGGCATTCCAGGGATGCCGGGATGGCCATCTGGACCAGGCATGCCGTCCGTTCCCGATATTCCTTCTAGACCAGGAGGTCCCGGTTGACCGACAGGGCCAGGGAATCCAGGTGGACCATTGGGACACATGCGGCATTGCTCGGTAGTATGCATTAGCACCGCCGGCATATTACCAGTCATACCCGGAGCTCCAGGAGCTCCTGGTAGGCCTGGTACGCCATCCAGACCCGGAGCACCGGGCTCTCCTGGTGGGCCAGCAGGACAATTGGCGTTTGCGTTACAGTCTGCAACAAAATTTAATTTGCAGCGATAATTATTTTCATTTTAAAAAAACAGGACTGACTGCAATTGTAGCTCTGCCTTTTCGTCCCTCGCACGATTCCAGCCACCGCTTTTTCGTTCGCCTTGGATGTTTGTCCAGACACCATTTTGCAGCTGCCGGAACTCTTCCATGTCCTGAATCGATAGTTCAGATGCGTAGATTCCACTGGCGGTCAAGTTTTCCAAGCTGGAACTTGCAATCACCTTGTGAAGATCAATAGTTATGCTATTGATTTTGTCCCATAGAGCAGGCACAAATAGGCTGACCATCACCAACGCTATGCTGGAACAGCCCATAGCGGTGTAACCCGCCAGGCGAGCCGACATCTGTAAATAGGTTATTTATAATTTTATAAAAGGCTCAGCTAGTCAATCATAGCGAAAGCGTAGACTACTGTTTGCAAGCAAAAAAAGAATCAATTAAAGAGTTTCAAAATTCTGAATAAGATGCTAATAGATTGAAATTAGGCCTAGGCCTTAAGCTGAAACCGGGTTGGCCGTTGAAAGAGGTCAGAAAATCCTCATCAATAGCTTACGTAAGGGACCAAATTTTTACGTCATATCAGTTCTTTCTAGAATGAATAGCAATAGCAGTGAATTCCATTTGGCCCATGCAAAGGCCCAAGCAGGAGAGCAGATAGAGAAGTCAATGTTTTTGCCGTGCTAGATGAGGCTGGCACCAAGTAATCTACCCCGGAGCAGGGTCAACGTCGGACAAGGACGGACAAGGTCCAACGAGGGGTGGAGGGGGCGTATTTGTGGGTGGAATAGAAGAGGGTCGTATTTGGGGTGGAATAGAATAGTGGGAGGGGGGTCGTATTTCGAGAGGTAGCGTTAATGTTACAATAAGGGAAGGGATGCTCTACGGCAATTTTGGAGGGAAAAGTGGGCGGAGTTGGACTGTGTCGACTGGTCTCAGAATCAAATACTATGGCCCCTGGCAGGCGAGGGTGGAGGAGGATGGCCGTGAAGGGTTAACCCTGAGAAGGGGGGGGTCGTATCGAGGCCCTCTAGAAGGGGGGGTCAAAATTTTCGAAATTGGTCCAACGTGACGGTTGACCCTGCCCCGGAGAATGAAGGGTTCGGTCGGTCTGGGCGATATTTTACCGCTCCCTACTATGCTCAGCGTCTCAGATTATTTTCGAGTGAACACTAGGTATAGGTCTACTGATTTCCCTCAGCTTTTGAAAACCCAATACAGGATTCTTAGTAGATCTTCGAATAGGAGAGATAAATTCTCAAAGTGGCCACTCAATGATCCTTTGACATTATTCACTCGCGTTGGTGACTTATACCTATTCCAAAATTTTAAGTTCAAGCACAGTGCACTACTGCACTCTGTTGATGGCCTCCAAACCAAACCTGGTGGTGTGGCCTAATCGGGAGACCTGAAAGGATTTATCTCCCCTGTAAACGTCTTTTAGAGAGTCTCGCATCTACTGAGAGCCCTGAGCAGGTTGGTAGTCCCTTTTCATAACGACGGGAGTTACGACTAGTGAAAATGAATTTACATTACCGAAGATGAAATACTAGACAGACAGACAATCCTTCTTCATGCAAAAATTCCAAGTGATTATTCTGAGCTTGTCGAACTTCCATAGAAGGATATCCTACTGTCCTTTCGTCTGCAGAGCTAAACGTAAGAGCCGGTTTTCGGGAGCCAGTGAACTTCAGGAGATCTCAGCTCCAGGAAACGCTGAAAGGGACTGAAATAGAGTGCAATAGAACTTCTTCAAAGCCCAGAGGGTCATCCCAAAGGCGAACGGGTGAACATGGCGGACGAATAACGGCGATTGAATCCGCCGTGCGTTAGGCGATGTCCGGCATGTTGTTCGTTCGCCTTTTAAGCTCGCTTGGCCCCGCCCCCAAACTGGCTGAGAAACGACCAGGAAAACTCGAACGAAATGTGGTAGCTACGACGAGCGCTTTCAAGCAGTTCCGCTGTTTGACGACACGACTTCGAGCGCTCAGCCGGTTAGCTGGTGCTGATGCGAATCGTCTCGATGAGATGATTCCGCCTAGTAGAAGTTCTCTTTGAATTATTGTTCCGGACGACCACTTCTGTTTTGAAGGGGTGAAGGAAGTGATATTTCTCTCAAGCTGAGCAAATGCACGAGAACCGGGAGTTTTTTTGGGGATAGTTGTGATGAGTAAACCACAGAATCTCGATATCAGCTTTTAGAAACAGTTGATCACTAATTCTGTTCCTCATACCTGTAAAAAATAATTCATTCCCTTCAGACTTGGTGTTAACTAACTTGAAAGGATGGGATACGAATTTTTTGAAGATCAGCCTCCACCACCTCATAAGACCCTATTATGGAGCTCAAAAACATTAAGCACTTGGATGAGCCATGGAATCAGTTATCACTCAGCATCATAGCAAGATTTCAGTATACCCCTCACTTTTGCAATTTCTTGTGAGGAACAGCCCGAATTCGGAACATCGTTTCCGTTCACGCTGATTTGAAGCTGCGTATCGCTGACTCACATCGGACCCATGAGTTGCATAAAATGATGGCTCTAACGGGATCTGAATCGTGACCTCATCTCGGAAGAATTTGTGTCCTATCACTCACCACACACAGCTTCACCACCTCTACTTAACGCCGTGCCTTCCCAAAAACTAAACTCAAACATAATGTCAGCGGCATGATTTTCCGGACAAAAATTTCAAGCTATTCTTGTATTTTCACAATCCATCTCCTTAAGGGCGGAAGTGGTGTAGTGGCAAGTGGCACGCTTACCACGCGAGCGGTCCGGGATCAAATCCTGGGTCGTGAGTCGCCCGGGCCAACCAAGCCTTCCATCCCTCCGGGGTCGGTTAATTGGTACCAGACTTGTCTGGGAGGATAAAAACACTGACTTGTACATCGGCTGGCCCCCGCAAGTCATTGTATAGGCCACATCGCATTCAAACGCCACTACGAATGTACAAATGGAAGTAGAATGCGTGCCGCATCCCAAAAGGGATTGATCAACGGCAAATGCTTTATCCTTTATCCTTATCTGCTTAACCATATCTGGCGCAACTGAATGACTACTTGGGCGTACTGGCCAGCCAGGTGGCGCTATTCGGCCCCAGGTATTCACGTCATGCACATATCATTTACCATTTTGCGCTTTATTTGTAGCCGCTCAACGAAGCTCTGTTATTCAGCAAATCCTATTTTGGATAGGCTGAAATTCCCTTCGGTGCGCTACGAGCTATTATGAGGATGTGGGTTGGCCAACACCTAACTGTTGAACGAAATCAATCGGAACACCAGCTGAAGCTTTGCGATTCTGAATGCAATTGAAGGGTGGTCCATCACAACCTCATTCATTGTAAAGATCTCATTGAAGACAGTGCCACAAATGTAAAACAACTAATGCTGCAAAATCTGTGGTCGCTTTGCTGAAGCTTTTGCCGTGAACATGGCCTGCATTCGCAGCGGAGGATTCTGAAGAGCCTTGCGTCCTTCATTTTCGAGTGTCGAATCGCTAATGTCGCGTCTCTCAAACATTCTGGAATCCAGAACCAGCTAACCACAGATCTAGAACTGAGCGCCTCACCCGATTGGTGGGTTCGCAAACGATGATCTCTTCATCGTCCAGCAACGACTGCTGACAACATGAATTTGTCTATAGCGGTAACGCTTGGTCGAAACATGGGCTTTCTCAAGTCTGGATTTCGATTAGTCGGTCGATTTAACGTTGAGTCGCGATGGGTCCTCGCCTTATTTTGAATAGAGGATTTTCGAAGTAAGCAAACCAGCCCTCTTGGTGTTTGTGGGGCGGTGTGCTGCATGTTGGGGAGAGGATGGGTCCCAGAGGTCCTACATGAACTCGGTCGGTCGGTAGGAGAGTGATGGCGAAGTGGTGCAGTCAGGTCCAGCAGCTCCGAAAAGCGGTGCTTCGCTTTACAGAACTAAGCCTTGGAGTCCTCTCTTTAAGGCTTCAGACCTGAGGTAAGCATCGAATTGAGGCGGTTTTAAGGACCGAGTTGAAGTAGCCCGTCAACCGTCGAGGACCCCATCCCTCCCTAACATTCAGCATACGGCCCCAGCAGAAACGCCTAAAAGGGCTGGTTTGCTACTTCAGTTTCTTTCATAACTGTTAGAAGGGCCATTCCACAGTCATCTATCTGCTTTATCTTTATTTGTTTGAAGCAGTATGCTATTTCGTTTTCCTTTGACTGCCCGTTCTGAGCATTGGGAGTTCATGTATGGGAAAGTCATACGCCGGAAAGAACAACCAGAGCTCCTGAAGCTATGCTGTTTTTCTACACTGTTTGTCGATTTACATTTTCGCACACGGATTCCAATTCTGTTGACGTTCTTTTTTTATGTGGTAGCCTGCTTTTAGGGCAAACCAATTACGGCTATGACCCTTCGTGAATGGTAGAATTGATTGGCATCTCCATGTGAAAACCAGTACCTCTCAGAAATCAGAACGTTTTTTTTTCACCACCTTCAATTCCATAACACTAGGAGACCTCAAATTTAACGCAATTGGGTCTACTAAGGGAGATATTTATTTCTTATAAAAGGTTCACAAACCCATGTCTGCTCCCTCATGCCTAAATGGGCTTATTTTTGCACTTTTCCCGAAAAGTCTGAAACGTTCCCGGCCGATAATTTGGAGCTTCATATCAATTCAAAAGATATTTTAATCTTAGAAGACACACACCAAACAAGCATGTACGGAATAACTAGATGTGAATAAGTAGTAGGATGACTCAAGAGTAAATGTATACAGGGTGGTCCAAAATTATGAGGACCAAGACATTGTGTCGTTAAAAACGCATAGTAGCTTGATGAACAAACCAACTTCAGGGAAGTGTTTGTAACTCTTATCTCAAAGTAATTCCAGAATAGAATTGAGATCTGCCACCTGCCCCGTTAACACGAGCCTTCAGATGAAGGGGGATGGCGCGTGCGGTGGCACGCAACTAAGGCGTGTCCAAATGTTTTCTGCCTTGCAAAAAATCGCTTTTTAGGATTTTCGCTTTATTCTTGGGTGCTCGGTCCTGTAAAAGTCCCAAGTAGACTACTCGAGTGGCTTTCTATCCACTACAGATGTGGAGTCTTTAGAGTGTCTGGCTGGGTTTTCACATCAATTTTTTCATTTTGGGAGTACGAAAGTCGACAAGGGGAGAGCTAGTTTCTGCATCTGATAATTGTCCTGGTGGTAACTGTAACTTTCGAGTCCCGAATTTTCCATCTGTGGTGGTTCCAAACTTATTGAAGAGTTGAACTGTTGCCATAAGAGCTTCCCTGATACGTTAGACTGCCGCTAGATGTAACGTGCCAGAGCCCTTAGTGAGTTCAATTTGAGGACTGACG